GTTGATGATGATGGGAGAATGGCAGATGTACGACGAAGAGGAGGGGAGAAGAAGGGATGTTTACATACCTTTCCTGTCTTCTTGGAGAAAGGTGGGGATTCTGCAGAGATGCTTGACTCGAGTGTGTCTGATGATAAGTAGAATGCAGATCTGGAATTATACACCTTCTTCGTCCAGACGCAGCAGCTCTTTTATAAAGACCAGTAGCTAGCCAGCAGAAGGAGAGAGCTCACCTACCTTACCCCACTATAGCAAGGTAACCCCTCGATCAGAGCCGCAATGGATTCCATTGCTGCTTTGGGAGTTGGAGTGATGGAGTGGATTGGTCAAGGTGATCCGAGTTGATCGGGCGCCCAATCAAGGGATAGCCGTCGCGTAGAACCTTGATGGCTTTTGCTAACTCTGAGAGTACCAATTGCTGTCTGCAGACTCGCGACGAACACATTGGCTCTTCTTTCCTGTTGCTGATTGGCATAGCCTATTTCAGCTTTTACCAATTCTCGCCTTCAAAGACTCAATAGCAATGATTGTGGAGCATCCGAGCATCTGCCAAGGTGCCATCTAGACTTAGAAGATCTGCCATATCGGGATGAATACAGAGTGTCGGACAGAGGTTGGACAGAGGTTGAACGGAGGTTGAACTTCCCCATGTTTGCGATAAGAGCATCGAGGATAGATTTTCCGAAAGAGGTTAAAATTCTCGGTTGTTGATGCGGCCGCTTCCGTCGACGTCTTCCCCTCCTCGTGTGTTCCAAGCATCTCTCGTCATCATCAACATGCTAGTCGAAACATCAATGAGCTAGTGTGCTATCGTTCAAGAGCCCGAGAACCACCTTGAATTGATGCTCATAGCTGAAAGCTGTCTTATGTTTCGAGGATATTCCGTTTTGAAGATACACAACATGCGATTCACTTTTTGTCTCCTATCTTGCATCGATATCTGTTTTGGTTCCTTGCAACTTACGGTTGCCTGTCCTATATCATTTCGTGCCTTTTTGCAGCTTTCCAATCCCCCTTTTCTTCAAGAACAGATCATCAAAGATATGGTTGTAATATTGTTCATACCAAGGCTGGAGATGAATTTGTTTTGCAGACCAAGTTAAACTAGCTCAAACTTTTGTTTAATCTTGTCGCTCGTTCCAAATTCTTTCCACCACTCATTTTCTTCATACGATGAGTATTCGCATATAGATCCTGCATGGTTTTTACCATAATCCTCCTCAGTTTCTCCTCCCGTCCGACGTCTTTGCACACTGTCATATCTGTTGACAAACCCCTTGTACTTTTCTTGGTCGGACGAGGATAAAAAGATGAAAGCCGTCCCAACAATTTCATATTGAGGACCGCTGGCGGAATCCACTTGACGCAGAACAACGGGGCAATTGCAGCCGTCAAGAAAGTATATTTTATCTCCTGGTCGTATAAACATATAAGAATATTCAATAATTTTATTGACTTTAAGTCAATAAATTATAGACTTAAACTCTATAATATATCAATCACTTTTTGATATATTATAGACTAGAACTCGATAAATATCAATAAAAAAGTCTATAATGCCGTAACAAATTGTGCACTTTCAAATCGAGATTTTGAAGCTTATTCTATTCGATATTTATCAACTGATCTATTCTAGAATGCCCCCATTTCTTTGCTTATTTGCCAACACTCAAATATGCCACTATTCCCAAATATGCCATTATTCCCAAATCCAACTCTCGCATATATGCCTGCATATCCTCGATTATAAAACACTTCGAATCGATCGTTGGTTCGTTCGTTCGCTCGCTCGCTCGTTTTGAAATCTAAACTTTGAAGTTAGAAAGAGTCTTTAAAAATGAGCAACGCTTACTTTCTAATTGATGAGTCTAGTCCATCTAGTCTAGTCCATCCAGTCTAGTCCATCTAGTCTAGTCCATCTAGTCCGGTCCAGTCCAGTCCATCCGGTCGGTCCAGTCCTCCAGTCCAGTCCAGAGAGTCCAGTCCAGTCCGGAGAATGCAATTAATAAGAGTGCATTTGATTAATGAATGAATAAATGAATGAAAACCTAAGGGAAAAGGCCACGTTGCAAAAGTAAGAAGGAGAAGCACAGGCCATGTAAACAAACCTCCTCGTTAGCCAATAGTAGACGCATTAGTGCTATGCCCGAGCGCTCTCCCCTTTTTTATGCTCTTACAGTACTTTCGAAAATGCTAAAGAATGCGAGTAAAGCTCAAAGAGAGAGTGAGAGAGTGAGAGGATAAGGTGACCCCCCCCCTAGTGGGCCACCCCTTGCAATGGTCCACCTTTTACACCAAAATACCCACTTTTAAAACTTATATTCTTTACAACGCTTTAATAAAATTAAATAAAATTAAAAATCTTGATTCATTTTTATAAAAAGAAAAAAGTTACTAATTTTATTTTATTTTAAATTAAATTAAAACTTTATAATTAAACTTTATTTTAAATATATAAAAATTATATATAAATTTCACGTTTTTTAATTTTTGAATAACTTTTTTAAAAATTAATAAAAGTTTATAATTTCAAAAATAAGGATTCTATATAATAATATAATTCTAAATTTTCAATTTTAAAAAACATCTATTAATAGTACCTTTTTTTTTATAAAAATCGCTTAAAATTTTATTAGTATTTTTAAGCGAGATTTTTTATATTTTTAATTAAAAAAGCACTATTAATAGAAACTTTTTAAGATTTAAAATTTGAAGTTGCACGAATATAAAAATTTTTTTATTTTTAAAAGTTTAATTTTTTATTAATTTTTAAAAAAGTTATTTAAGAATTTAAAAATTTAAAAATTTATATATATTTTACATATAAATTCAAAACTTCGAATTTCAAACTTTAATTTTGTAAGTTTAAAAATTAGAAATTAAAATAAAAATTAGTAACTTTCTTAGATACTTTATAAAGAAGCTAAATTACAAGTCTTATATAATTTTATTAATTTTTAGTGAAGTTTTTATACTCTCAAATTCGAAGTTTTTGGTGTAAAAAGTGGACCATTGCAAGGGGTGGCCCACTAGGAGGGGGGTCACCTTAAGAATAAATCGTAAAATTGAAAATGAGAGTTTTTCGCATTAATTTAATTATCGACTTTTGATCGATATATATTTACTAATTTTTCGAAATTTCTAAAATATTAACTTTTACTCTATATTTTAATAATTCATAAAACCCATTTATAGGATTATTTCCATTTTTATTAACTAGTTGTTAATAATTATCGATAAAAGGTGATGTTTATAGACTCGATGCTACCGTAGGGTACAAGGTATGAGTACAAAGCTTCGAGGGCTTCACGTTCGTCAGCGTAGTAGTCACTCCGACTCTGGTCCGAGATTCTGGGAATAGTGCCTTTTGCGTAACTTCTCTTTGTGATAGAGGACACGGTATCAACCATGCCAACCAGAACTCCATCGACATCGAGGACTTTCTCAAACCCAGATCTTGATTTCGATTTATACCGTCTCCAGGTGAACTTGTAACTATCCAAATCCTCGTATTCTGTAAAATCCAGCTTTCCAGATACCCAATCAGGGGTCCATGACGGAAGGTTAGGACCACGAGTCCCGTCACCGCAGCGCAGCAGGATTATATTGAGGCTCCTCTTTTGCCTGATCAATCTCCTCGTCAATTCTGTCTGGAATTCATCAAGCGGTTGATCGTAGTCAGGCAGAGGTACCAGACTCGGACCATTATGACATATATTCAACAGAGACAAAATTCGATCTCGATCTTCCGAAGCCTGCGAGCTCTGGAACCACCGAACAGTCCTCTCAAGACTCGGCTTCGAAGGACTTTGGTACTCCTGATGCATCTTCTGAATGCGGCGGACGAATATGGTCACTTTCCCGATCCGCGAGGAGCTGACTTTAAACAGGCCCGAGTTGCGGAAGGCGCGCTTTAACTCCTTCCACGAAATTTCTTCCTCGCCGCATAAGGTAGCCACTTCCAACGCAACGGCAATCTCTTATATAATCCAAACCCGCTTCCAATACGGCCTTTCAAGAAAGTTCTCACTTAGCGAAACCGCCATCGCATGATCCAGACGCTAAGTGTGGATTTGATGATCGCTTCGGTGGGAGGAGTTACATGCTCCATTATGTTTTTCGCTTTCCGGCCAAGCACATCCTCTCGAGAGTGCATTCTATTGTCGATTCAGGGGGACCTGGCAGGATCGTCAGAATCCTTGTTTCGAGCTTGGCGACATCGAGGGGTTCGTAAATGAGAACTGGGGAGATGGGCAAAATTTCGAGGTCCTTGGTGTCGGGAGGGGTTGCGAGGGAGGTGGGCAAGGTGATACTGTTGGAAGACATGCTCTGAGATTCTGCCTGATTGTCAAGTGGCATAAGGGTAGAAAGATCGATAGAATCTCTCACCAGAGAGAAGACGACCGCGCCTTGGAGAGGGAATTAAAGGGAAAATAAGAAGACTTCTGCGAGGCTGGATGATTGAGGAGGTCCAAGTTCGCGGAAGGTCTGAAAGAGAAAGGTAGCCTTCGTCCGCAAGGCTTGGATAGCCAAGTTTCAGCCGCACCGTTAAGGTTGTGGGCCTTCGTTAGTTACGCAGGAAAAAGGAAGACCAACCAACCGATTCGAGATCTCACTTCTCAGCCGATCCCGCTCTTGTCAGGGCAGTCGAAGGACCTGAATTCGAATTGCAACATCAAAAGTTCTTCCGTGGTAGTCTCACCGGAATGTTGCGCGTTCGACTCGCACCTGAGGGGTCACCAATGATCAATACTTATTTGCTCTCCTATATAGAGTTATTCAACCTCTCTCGTCATTATGTCCGTAAACGCTTTTAGACCTGGGGTAAAAAGTAGACCTGCCCCTACCCCTCCATTATCGCTTTCGCTTGTCCCGAACCCCGAAAATTATCCATCCCACCAAAGAAAAAAAAAACCCCCTCCTCCAAAGTTCAAACTTTCAATTCTCACCACAAGCAAAATAGAAAATTTTGGCAAAAAAAGTAATGATCATATTTGTGATCCCTCAGGCGCGAGTCGAACGCGCGACATTCCGGTGAGACTGAACAATTACAGCCGCTAGAAATGCCGATGTTAGCTTTTTCAACTAACTGAGAGCAATTTTTGGGTGAACCTACGACGCCATAAACCAACTAGACGACCGAGGGTTACTACGAGTGTAAGCTCGTATGATTGGTGGACGCAGATTGCTTAGTTAAATATATAGGACGTCTGGTAATGAACAAAGTGGGAAAGTGCGATGATTTGGCGGGGCTTCCCGTGAGCTGTTGAGGATCGGGCGGGGTTTCTTCGGGTGAGAGGAGCGTGCCTTCGTACTCGGATCGTACTCGTACATTCGCAGACAGCTGCTACAAAAAGTCTCCGAAACCCCATAATAAAGGAGTAACTTCACCCCGAATCTGTTTCTAAACCTCGAAGCTTTCACTGAATCGTGGGAATTGACGTCTCGGATTGTGAAATTCCCGTCTTCCAAGTAGGATCTTGGTCGTATTCGCGATTTCAGGTTTGTCATGGTCAACAGCAGATATGGAATCAAAATGACTTACCACTGCCATAAAAGCATATTGGAGATCGTTCAAATCATTCTCAACTTCGTCAACATTTACAAATAGCATTTTGCTTCAATTATATCTCTCAGCATGAGCAAGCAAAAGGTTCTCCTCCTCGGAGCCACAGGGGAGACAGGAACCTCTATTCTCAATGGTCTTCTTACTCTCGGGAAATTCGTGAGTCCTCTTCTCCCATGGGCCATCCACACCTCACACTTTACAGGAAATCACAGCTCTAGTCCGACCCCCATCAGCCGAGAAACCAAACGTCAAAGCCCTCGCCGAGAAAGGAGTCAAGATCCTTGTTATAGACATCAACAATCCTGCTGATGAGCTCGCTTCATTGCTTTCAGGATTCGATGTCCTCATCAGTGCCATTGGCGGCATGGCGCAACTCGCACAGATGAATCTCATCGTCGCTGCCAAGAAAGCGGGGGTGAAACGATTTGTTCCTTGTGATTTTGCGAGCATTTGCCCTCCTGGTGTCATGATGTTGCGGGACGAGGTAAAATCATCTTCTTCGCCCACATTTTCAATTTACTACTAACTTGGATCCAGAAAGAAGAATCTCACACGGAAATTAGGAAGTTGGGGCTCGGGTACACGTTCATCGAGACCGGCTACTGGTACCAACTCTCCTTCCCACCACTTCCATCTGGACGCCTTGCACACGCCACGTTTCCAGGGATGCAAGTCCCTCTTCATGGTGACGGTGGGGTTCCAAATCTCCTCATCGATCTGAGAGATATTGGGATGTTTGTGGCGCGCATCATTGATGATGAGAGGACGTTGAATAAATATGTTTACTGTTGGGGAGAAGTCCTTAACGAGAATCAGATCTACGATGCGATGGAAGAAGCCTCTGGAGAGAAGTTGGAGAGGGTCTATGTACGTCCCTCATCGCCTACTACTATATCAAGACTTGCTAAAGGGAAATGTAGGTGTCGGATGAGGAACTGATCACGCAAGAGCAACAGCTCAAGCAGGCTTTCGCGAATGACAAAAACAACCTCCAGATCAGAATCGGCTTCTATACCACGCAGTATTCCTATAGCAAGTATGTCAGGAAAGACAATACCCCAGAAAATGCCAAGTACCTGGGGTATCTGGATGCGAGGGAATTGTACCCTGACTTGAAGCCAAGGTCTTTCAAGGACTTTGTTGGTGATTTGTTGGATGGAAAGGTGCAGAGACCATATGCCAATGGGGTGTCTTTGTAGCGACTCGATTCGCCCATTTTAAGCAAATCTCAATTGCTATTGTGCAGAAAGATTTCGGAGTTTGGTCCCAAGGCTTGTTACGGCTACCTGCTCCCACGATAACCAACAATACTTGGATTTGCTCTCCACAAACACTGATATCGAAGAAACTTGTTTCCAAATATCTTGCAACCTGAAAAAATCTACTTTCTTCGCACGAATCTCTGGAAGTGGCTTCTGGATAAGGTGCACGTGATAGATGTCATTTTCCACGAACAGTATTTCCTTCCTTCACATATCTGATTCATCGGCAATTCACTTATCAGTAGATGTATATGTTTGGAAGGAGTCATCGGCATGATTCATTTGCTGCTATCTATAATCATATACCTCTTCCACCAATACATCACGTTACTCAGTTGCGTCATCAATCGCCGCTTCAAGGTTCTCCAGATCGCAATCTTATCTGCAAACCCTTCAATGATAATCACAACAGCTTCAACAATCAATCTACAAGCAATCGGCAAACAGCTATCAGCCTTGCGACTGGCTTGCAAGTCTGCTCAAACGGTTTCTCGAACTTCATTCTCCGTAATCGTATCGCCAGACCCCACATTCCTTAAAATTTACGCCACGTCCACCTCATCTCTATCCCAATATCAACCTCGCTCTCACCTACCACCGCCATCTACTCAGTCACAGCTCGAACAGCTTGAATCAAAGATGTCCCCCACCTCATTCACCATCTTCCCACGGCTTCCCCTAGAACTACGTCTCAAAATCTGGGGCCACGTCGCAAATTCTCAACCCCGCACCCTCGACATCTGGACCGACTTCAAGCGCTGCGAAGTAGAAAACACTACCTTCTACACTCAAGCCTACCAATGCGAACTCAGTAACATCGTTCCCCCGCCCATATTCCGCGTCAATCACGAAGCTCGCACTGAAGCCCTCAAACACTATTCCCTAGAATTTGCGACTGGGATGAATCTTCCAAATGGGATCAGTGTGAACATCAGTCCTAGGATGTATGTCAATTACGCAACCGATACTCTGATTCCCAGAGGGTATTGGAATAATGTCTCCTTTGCCGATTTCGCGAAACGGGCTGCGGGACGATTGAAGACTTTGGCAATAGATGTTAACGATGTCTTCTGGAAAGAAAATCTTAGGAATTACTGTAAGAAGCAGTGCTGGGTATTCAACGAATTGGATGAGCTTATATTATACGACACGTCAAACGACGATATGTTCAAAGGCAGCGACTTTCTAGAGAAGTTCAGAAAGAAGCATAAGGATGGCCCACGTGATCTTAGCTTCCGTGATCGTACTGGGGAAGTGAGTCCGAGGATGTGTGAGGTGAAGGAGTTTCTTGAGAAGATGTTTGATAGGATTGAAGGGAAGGTAGAGGATGTTGTGCCGGAGGCGGGAGAGGATGGGGAGCCGGTTGAGGGGCCGCCGGTGGTGCATCCGAGTTATTTAGATGGGTTCGAGAGTACGGAGGCTGAGGATTTGCAGAGGCCGCGCTTGAGGCTTTGCGATATGTTGGCTACAAAGCCAGTCGCTGCGGTCGGTCTGCTTGCTTGAGTGCTGGTTTCGTATTTCTTGGTTTGGTGTGGCATGGACTTTGGAGTTGAAGCTGCATTTTTGGAGTATGGGTATCGTCGGGGCATCAAACCCTGGTATGGATCCAATTTATTCAAATGGATCGTTCTTCATTCATATTCCATTGACATTCGATGAATCGTTGTGTTTTGAGGCCCCTCGAAAAACTCTGCCAAGTGGCTCAAAATCCGAGAACGGTATTCTTTCTGCTGTTAGCATGCTTTGCTTCCCATCGTTTCTTGACTTGCTACAGCGTTTCATCATTTAGTTTAAAGGTCTTTGATCACATAAAGCAAGTTTTGATTCTTAATTTCAAGTCTCTCTATTGCTCTGAATCGAGGACGACGGGACGTCGAGATGGATGAAACGCCACGTAACCTTTAAAGATACAACATCTATCTTATCTTTGAGTTCACGGGGCAGCTAATAGGTGTCAATGGCGTAAGACTTGAGTCCCAATTCCTCGCCGCATTTCTGGCCATAGTTAGATCAGCTCGAGCCCCACGCTCAGTGATTAATTGGCATGGTCATCACGATCGTTACGTCGTCACTTTTACATTCTCCGAGCAAGCGAAAGAGTTTAGCACAATTCAGCGACGGATGAGAAGTGCATGTGCGAATTGAATATATTTTGTTCGATTATTCTTGGTTATCTGATGAGCTTGTGCTACATATTCCGTGATGTCTGTTTCGCTCTCAATAGATGTACTCTTGATATCAGCGTTTCCAGACTCCCAAGCTAGATGTCCCCAGTAAGACTGGGGGATTGAAATGCTTCCTTCCTGAGCTGAATGCTGTGGGCAGCTCATCCGCTTGAGTTCCCTGTAATATTCCCGCTAATAAATACAACCAGCACAGCTGCATATGCCGCTGTAGCAGCAAATAGCTCTGCCTTCCTTGCGCTCGTCAAAAGCCCTACACTGATGGCAAAGAGTGCTGTAAAAACCCCGACGAGCCCTAATCTTTTGAGATTGCTCTGGACTAGGTACAAAGCTACAATCGCTCCGACAAGCAGTATTGCTGCTAGGATGACATCCAGCAGGGCGACCACGTATGCGATTCTTTTCTCTGGAATGCGAGCGAGCTTGCCTTCGACGTTACCTTGCTGTTGTAGATGTCAGCTGACAACTGTAGGGTCGGATACAAGTTCTTCGACTTGCCACAAACAAAACACGAAGGTATCTTCGCAAAAACTAGTCGAAGTCAGATCTGTTATTTTTTCTTTCCGATTATCTTAGGAGAGGTGGAGGCCAGCTCACTCTAGTAAGCCAGTCTTGTTCAGCTGCAGAATGCAGAGCAATGAGGTCGTCGAAGTCATAGAGTCTGTCTGCGCTCAGTCCCGCGAGCTTTGGAATTCCACTGCCATCTGCTTCTCCCTGCAACCAACTTCGGAATGCTTTCACAGTACTCCAGTGAGGTTTGATCATCTTCAAGACTGTTTCTTGGGCGATGAGTGCATCTTCTAATGAGAGCAGCAAGTTAGCATGCCTCTAGAAACAGCTTAATTACGCTTGACGATACAACTCACGATATTCTTTGATCTTCTCCCGGATCTGAGCCTGCAACTTCCGTCTTTCAATGCATCTTGGGTCATCGCTCGTGCTAAGAACCGACCAGTCTCTTGCATATTTCTTTGCTGAGAAATCTCCCCTCAGATCTTGTTCGTCTAATTCATCTTGCCGTCTCTCAAGTTCAAAAAGCTCAGCTTCTATGATGAGGAGATTTCGCGATGTCAAGCGATGGTAGCTTCGATAAACTGATGTCGAATGATCCTGATCGCTCGCGATGAACGCG